CCTTAACAGTTATTACAAAAGTTGTGTGTGAAAAATTGATGCAGTGGTACCCAGCATGCAACCAGTTACCGAAATGACCTTGACACTTTCATGACCTTAACAATATCATCTAAAGGTCAGATGTACTTTTCAGATCTGTATGGTTTATGTAATGGTAAGTGAGTAAAGGCATGCACAGGCTGTACACATAATGGCATTAGGAAACAAAGTTTAAAAGTGCATTGGGGGGTTAATGTTTAATTATCAGCTTTTGTTTAATACATTGCAAAGCATAATATTATAATTCCTAACATTATATCAGGTGCAAGGTCTAAAATAAAAATAATAAAGTTACTTACAACTAAAGTATATATTTCTTGTTTGCTGAATGTCTGTATTGACTATGTGTATAGGTTACTAAAGAATGTTGACAAACATGTATAAAAAGTGTACCTAACAGATTTAAGCACTTTAACACTTGTAAGTACATGTAGGTAACGTCCATTACACAACTACTTTCACCAGTTACTGTCGGGGAACAGTGCTGTGTTTCCTATAGCATTTTTTCCGTATTCAGTTTTGAAAATTGACAAAAGTTCCAAGCAGACAAACACGTATGTTCAATTTAAATCTTGTGCCAGCAATAGAAAAACCAGTACTGTTGGCTACCTAGGACGTATCTTTTAAAATTATAAGATCTAATGGGAAGTTCTCGTGTTGTTCCAGCTCCCTCTTATGTCCGAGACTTGAAAGCAGTGGAGTCGTCCCCCCTGACGGTCAATCTGACATGGCGACCACCCTTGGTACCTAATGGTATTATAACAGCCTATTTGGTTGCCTACACCAACCAGGTGAGTGGTTCATATTCAACTGATCCAGCGGTAACTTTTTAGTAATTTTTATACAATTATAGACTTTTGTGCTGGTGAATATGATGTGAAATGAACCTGAAAAAGTTATATTTGCCGAGGTCAATATCCCTTTTTAGGTTAATATCACATCATGTAAACCAGCACAAAAGCCCATAACTATTTTATTATATGCTTCAAAAACAAAACAAAATAGGTTCTGAATTTTCATTTTTTACCTCCATGTAAAATTTAGCCAGGGTTGAATGCAACAGTTCGGCATTGTAGCTTTCGAAGACATCGTCAAGGTTCTTTTTCTTTAGATAAACATTGTGGGAACTGTTTTAACAGCATATTTATCTTCGAGTAGTTTTTGGAAATTTTCAGATGTAATAGAGGTGAAGCATTCGCCGGCAACCATCTTCTGTTGTCATCTGACAGATCGCATTCCAGATTTTCTGTTTTCAAAAATGTCCCAATAGTATAAGCTACATGTAGTTCACTATCCATCTAATAGTTTAAATGGATGGAATAACAAACTCCAGTATATGCATGTATACCCAAAGTTTTATGTAAATAGGTCTTTGCTCTTTTCCTATACATGTACATGTATACTGGTTTCCTTCATCAACTAATTAGCTGGAGGTATAAATCCTAATTTGACTTCAATGTTGAGCACACATGCAATGACTATGGATAGGATCTGTTGAAAGATTTATATTTTTTTTTTTTATTTCACTTTGTATAGTTTGTAATACATGCTTTAAACCTGAATGGTACACTGGATAAATTATTTTTTTAACAGCAGGATGGGATTGGTGGCAGCCGAAACCTGACCCTGGCAGGTAGTCTACAGTACCAGAGTGTTTACTACATGAATTTCACTGACCTCCTCGCTGGTCACACCTACTCCTTCATGGTCAGTTTCTTGTACATTACACAAAATTGAGTTATCTCAAATTTTTAACAATTTAGTTTTTCCTTTCAATTAATTTTTTTCCTGCTTACTGATGAAAGATTTTGTTAATTTACTGTACATTACCTATACTTGTGTTGTGGTGTTACAGGTTTATGCTAAGACCGTGACTTTAGGAACCCCTGCTGTGTACAACATCACACTAAGGACGTATCGTAAGTTTCTTATTCTCTCATGGACTTTACATTTTTCAGTAGAAGACAATTTGGGGCAAAAATCAAAATCAAAATCCTATGTCCCAGTGTAGGGGAACTGGACTGGAATCGTGAGCGTCCACATAGCTCAATTGGTAGAGCGTCTGTCGAGAGTTTGCTGGATCCCACGTTCAATCCTAGCTGGTCTGGCTTTGCATTTTTCTGCTTCTGTTACATTTGGGGCCATGACCAGGATTCAAACTTGGGTTGTCGCAGCCACAACGCAAAGTGCTAACCGCTAGAAAGATGATCACAGCAAATAACTGTGTTGGAGATTCTCAGATACTTTTGTACAACAAAGAACCATTTATGAGATTCTCTACTTCTAGCACTTATTTGTTATGTTTGGTTTTGAAAAATAAAAATAAAATCTTACATTGGAACTTTTTTGGTCCAGAATACCTCTATTCCCAGCCCAGAATTGCTGTATAATGAAACATCAATCTTTATAGATAATAGAATTGTATAGAATTTAAACTGTTCATTGGAAACTGTTTAAGAATTATTATTGAAATGTTGATTTGCTTTATTACAGCTCCTCCAATCATAGATGCTGCCACCTCTACACCCAAAGGTGTTACTGACAAAGGTATCGCCACGGTTACACCAACAACAGTTATTGTTCATTTCACAAATCCATTCTCTTCAAAATATGGGGACATCATCAACTACACAGTGATTGTTGCCACGGATACCACGGAGCAATACACCAATGCTCATGCCACACTCCCAGATTGGAAGGCTGCTCAAGTTGACCCTAGTATAAAGGCATACCAGGCCATTGCTAATTGTTCCACCTTCTTTGAGGAGAGTTCCACATGTAATGGAGTGTTCCGCTTGCACAAGAGGAGCGTCACACTGGATTATAAAGTGTTTGAAATTGGTACTGAGTCAAATTGTTACTCAAAGTCCTATTGTAATGGGCCACTGCAACAACAGACTAAGTATTACGTCAAGCTAAGAGGATACACGGAGGGAGGGTATACAGACACAAACTACTCCAAACCATTCTTAACCAGTAAGTCAGCTGTCACATCTCTTCTGTGTTCATTGATTCTTTCAGCACTGTTTAACACAAAGCGCCATACAGTATTTATGTAAGGTCTATTATGAACTGAGTACTGCAGCTAGGGTCATGCTACTTCATACTATTTATTGTGCCTCCATAAGTACAGCATCTATGTATGACAATTAACAGAGTAGATATGATACCCTACACAGTATGTATGACACTTTACACAGTAGATATGATACATTACATGTGCACAGTATATATGACAGTTTACACAGTAGATATGATACCCTACACAGTATGTATGATACTTTACACAGTACATATGATACCCTACACAGTTTGTATGACACTTTACACAGTACTTATGATACATTACATAGTATATATGACAGTTTACACAGTAGATATGGGACCCTACACAGTATGTATGATATTTTACACGGTACATATGATACCCTACACAGTATGTATGATAATTTACACAGTACATATGACAGTTTACACAGTACATTTGAGACCCTACACAGTATGTATGATACTTTACACAGTACACAGGATACCCTACACATACAGTACATATGATACCCTTCACAACCACACAGTACATATGATACTTTACACAGTACATATGATACTTTACACAGTACATATGATACTTTACACAGTAGATATGATACCCTACACAGTATGAATGATACCCTACACAGTACATATGACACTTTACACAGTACATATGATACCCTACACAGTACATATGACACTTTACACAGTACATATGATACCCTACATAGTACATATGATATGACACTTTACACAGTACATAATCCCTACACACTATGTATGACACTTTACTCAGTATATCAGGAGATTGAACATGACTTTAATGAAAACTGTTGGAATTCAATAAGATTTAAGTTTTTAAACAGTTCTAGATATTTTAATGTCAATTACCTTACTATCTAGGTATGGTGGTGGAGGAGGATAACATAGGAGGGATCATTGGAGGGGTGGTGGCTGCGATACTTGTGATCATCATCTTTATCGTCGTCTTCATTGTCTTCCGACGTATGCGGGATCGTCGTAGTAACATGTACAAGGAGCGTCACTCGCAAAGGCTCAGCATGACTCCACGGTCATCTCTTCGCAAAAACAGAAAGAGGTATGGCCGGCAGTCAAGTAGCGATACAAATTTTTGTACTGATTCATTATGTAGTAAATATGATATTGCCACCATGGCGTTTTGTTCAAGTATGAATATGGGAATCATTAAACCTATGCTAATGAGGGAGACCAGCAAACACATTTTTTTTAAATTCTGAAATTATATAAAAGAACTATTTTTTGTAATTATTTAAAGATATTTATGTAAAATGTGACTTTGACTAAAATCATATTTGAATTCTTCCCCCACAGTCACCCTGTCAGCATGGCTAATTTCAGTGATCACATCATATCCATGTCAGCAGACTCCGATTTTAAGTATGCAGAACAGTTTGAGGTATGCAATTGTGAAATATCTTTTTATGTAAAATGTCAACTCTGATAGAACAAACTCAATAAACAGGCCATGTTGTATGAAATCCTGAATATGAAATAAAAAAATATATGTATTTTGCATAACAAATTATATAGTCAAGTTACTTTGGAATCAATTGTGTAGAGGTTATTTCCCCTCCCTAACAAGACTGTTACATGATCTATGGTATATTCTATCAAGTTTCGTCAGTAAGAATTAATATGAATTGTAGGACCTCCGCAGATATCTTACAAAGCTTTTGTTCTGTACACTGAAATATGTCTTTATTTGTATACTGACTATAGTTTAATTGTTCTTAGGACTTGAAAGAGATCGGCCGTGACCAGCCATGCACAGCAGCAGAACTACCAGAAAACAGGGGAAAGAACCGATTTACAAACATCTTGCCATACGACCACTCACGGGTGAAGCTTCTACCCACAGATGATGAGGAAGGCTCAGATTACATCAACGCCAATTACATGCCGGTAATTATAAGTAGTAGTTTTCTTGTTAATAAGGTACAACAACCTGTCACTTAACTTAGAAAGGATTTATTAATTTGGTATCAAATTAAATTCTGAAAACTGACAAAAATATGCTAGTGTTAATTGTTCTTGATTCTGTGTTGATCATTCACCAATAGATTATAATTCTTTGAATATGGAGGACTAGTTCTATACATTGGTTTGGTTTTGGTCTGCAGGGCTTCAACTCCCGTCGTGAATATATTGTGACTCAGGGGGCACTACCATCTACTCGGGACGACTTTTGGAGGATGATTTGGGAACAGAACTCACGTAATATTGTTATGCTGACTAAGTGTGTGGAGAAAGGCAGGGTAAGAAATACAAAATATTTAATTTAATAGATCATACAGAGAGGTAAATGATAATTTTTCATAAACAAAAATGATTCTGACCTTGTTTTAACCTTGTGCTTACATTGTTCTGACATGTAAGATCTTGAGCTGTCATTGTTGAAACTAAAGTTTAAATATCTGTGGCACAGGAAATCATGAAAAAAAATCAAAAATAAATCATATGCCTACTTTGTGTATTGACCTTGTGCTGAGATTGAACATATTGTAAATTTTACGTTTACAGGAAAAGTGTGACCACTACTGGCCACACGGCACTGACGCCATGTTTTACGGGGACCTCCAGGTGGCTGCGCTAAATGAGACAAAATTTCCGTCATGGACCATCACAGAATTTCGGCTCTCACTGGTGAGTCTAAAATAGTCTTTGTCTGTTGAATGAAAGTTCATTAATATTAGTATTACTTAGAATTAACAGCTGAAGGAAATAAACCTCCCATTACAAAATATCTTAAACATGTACTTACATTATTATTTCACTTCCTAAATAGAAGGAAGATATATATATATGCTAGACTTTGTGGAATTGATGATTATAAAATATATTCAAAGTTGTTATTTAGCTATAGTTATTGGTATAAATCTGATAAACAAAAAGATAATTCCTGTACTTATTTTTCTCTATTCTGTATTCATTTATTTCAAATTCCAGGGAGATGTTTCCCGACAGATTCGGCATTTCCATTTTCTAGCTTGGCCTGACTTTGGTGTCCCAGACAAACCTCAGACATTGATTCGGTTTGTGAAGACAGTGAGAGAAAAGTTGAACAGGGAATGTGGTCCTATTGTAGTCCATTGTAGGTCAGTATTCCTCAGAGTGTGGTTCCCTATAATAGTCAGTAGACCACTGTCCCCAGGGAATGTGGTCCTATTGTAGTCCATTGTAGGTCAGTATTCCTCAGAGTGTGTATCCCTATAATAGTCAGTAGACCACTGTCCCCAGGGAATGTGGTCCTATTGTAGTCCATTGTAGGTCAGTATTCCTCAGAGT